TTTGAGTATAGATATTTATTCCTCAAAAACTGCCAACTTTGAATATAGATATTTATTCCTACAAAGACGACCAACTTTAAGTATAGATATTTATTCCTACAAAAACTGCCAACTTTGAGTATAGATATTTATTCCTACAAATACTACCAACTTTAAGTATAGATATTTATTCCTACAAATACTACCAACTTTAAGTATAGATATTTATTCTTACAAAAACTGCCAACTTTGAGTATAGATATTTATTCCTACAAAGACTACCAACTTTAAGTATAGATATTTATTCCTACAAAAACTGCCAACTTTGAGTATAGATATTTATTCCTACAAAGACTGCCAACTTTAAGTATAGATATTTATTCCTACAAGGACTACCAACTTTGAGTATAGATATTTATTCCTACAAAAACTTCCAACTTTGAGTATAGATATTTATTCCTACAAAGACTGCCAACTTTAAGTATAGATATTTATTCATATAAAAACTGCCAACTTTGAGTATATATATATTATTCCTAGAAAGGAAGTCTTTTAAAGTCTGGTACTTCATTACGTTTAAAGTGACTAACCATTATGTTAATATATATATTGGCCTGATGGGTAGGGCGCCTGATTCGTAATCTGCAGGTTGAGGGCTCAAATTCCGTCTCCAAATACGCTTGCTCTTTCAGTTGCGGGGGGGCGTTATTATGTTACGGTCAATCTCACTATTCGTTGGTAAAAGAGTAGCACAAACGTTAGCGGTGGGTGGTGCTTACTAGCTACTTTCTCTCTTGTGTTTCACTGCTAAATTAGTGAAGGCTACCTGAGAAACATCGATGATGTATTAGCTCCAACGGTCGTAAGCGGCATCGGGACTAAAAGAAATATATCTTATTTATCAGTCTGTCTGACTACACCTATAAAATCATAGTTATCAGTCTATTTGACTACATCTGTAAAATCTTAGTTATCAGTCTGTCTGACTACACCTATAAAACCTTAGTTATCAGTCTGTCTGACTACACCTATAAAATCCTAGTTATCAGCCTGTCTGACTACACCTATAACATCTTATTTATAAGTCTGTCTGACTACACCTATAACATCTTATTTACCAGTCTGTCTGACAACACCTATAACATCTTATTTATAAGTCTGTCTGACTACACCTATAACATGTTATTTACCAGTCTGTCTGACTACACCTATAAAATCTTAGTTATCAGCCTGTCTGACTACACCTATAAAATCTTAGTTATCAGCCTGTCTAACTACACCTATAAAATCTTAGTTATCAGCCTGTCTGACTACACCTATAACATATTATTTACCAGTCTGTCTGACTACACCTATAACATCTTATTTATAAGTCTGTCTGACCACACCTATAACATATTATTTACCAGTCTGTCTGACTACACCTATAACATCTTATTTATCAGTCTGTCTGACTATAACTATAAAATCTTATTTATCAGTCTGTCTGACTACACCTATGCTGTTTTTAAAGGAAGAGTACAGTTAATTTATTTTCCATTCTCAGGGTCAACTGTTTCATAACAATCGTTGGTTCCGTTCATGTCCTTGCTTTTAGCAATCATCATTTTTTTAAATATTCGGAAAGCTAATTATTAAGTGTGTTTATATTTTTAAAAAGGTTGAGTATCTTTGTATGTGCACGAAGATACGAAACCCTATAACTCGAACGGTTTCGAAAGGTAGACATTTCTTCTTCCGGGTAATAGAGTTTCATATCCTTGTATGAAATTGGTTTCTCGAACATACGTGTTTTCCTAACATCATTTTTGTATACGTACGTATACTTTATAATTGTCCTATCTTTCGTAGATTTGACAGTTTTGCTGCTCTGACCAACGTAAGCTAACAACACCTTGTCTATTTTGGTTTGAATCTTTTACTATTGTCACTAACATGATAGGTTTTCTTTTTTATTGATATATTCAGTCGCAAAACTTTTTTTTAATAAGCCATGTATTATAATAAAGGTCTATAGTTCTTATGTATGTTATTGAAATGTACTATTACTTATGATTGATAAATATTTATTCTTATCTATATTATTGAAAGTGTACTATTACTTATGGTTGATAAATATTTATTCTTATGTATATTATTGAAAGTTTACTATTATCTATGGTTAATGAATATTTATTCTTATGTATATTATTAAAGTGTACTATTACCTATGGTTGATAAATATTTATTCTTGTCTATATTATTGAAAGCGTACTATTACTTATGGTTGATAGATATTTATTCTTGTCTATATTATTGAAAGTGTACTATTACTTATGGTTATGAATATTTATTCTTATGTATGTTATTGAAAGTGTACTATTACTTATGGTTAATGAATATTTATTCTTATGTATATTATTGAAAGTGTACTATTACTTATGGTTAATGAATATTTATTCTTATGTATGTTATTGAAAGTGTACTATTACTTATGGTTGATGAATATTTATTCTTTAAAACTAACATTGACTAAAATGATTAAATAAATATATATTTTGGTAGTATTTGCAAATTTTAACGAAACAAACTATCAAATTATGTTTGAAATCTTTGTTTGTTTTTATCTCGCATTATTGAAGTTGTGTTTAAAAAGTACGTTCCATGTTTGTGTTCTTCACGAACAAGGATATTGTTTATTTATTAAAGGATAATCTTTCAAAATGTACATCTTTTTTCTTCTTTGGGATTATTTCTCGCTCTTCCATGGTTCTTTCAATAATAATTATAATTATTGAGCTGGGCGTGGCCCAAAAGCTAGAGTGTCCGGTCAGCGAACCTCTGGACTTTAGTTCAACTTCTGTTGCTACACAAACGAGCTTTCAAATTTTGGATTGTGGGTGTTTTAAAAGAATGACGATCAAATTCAACAAATGTAGCTCATGAGTTGGTGGTGGGTGTTGAAAAGTAGTTTTCCTTTAATTCAAAGTTAATAACAGTTGTATAGGCAGATAATCCTTGTAATTATAAACAAAAGACAGTGATTCTTACATTTAAAACTGTGACTTTATTGTACCTTATAAATATTTAATTTCTCATAGTAGTTAGTGTTTAGATACTTGTATTTCTGTAAAAGGAACGTTTGCGACTCCTCAGATATTAAAATTATCTTTAATAATGCTTATTTGAGGCGGCTTTAAAACTGCAATGTTATTGTTTTTGTATTGACATAAAAAACTATTTCAGAATATTAACTAGGGTCATTAAATGTGTTAATACAATATAGTGAAACTAAAGGTAGTTTCAACTAAGAATTGCTGATTCGACGCATTGTAAATAATAATGACTCAATATTTACTATTCATACTCACGTTTTCCAATCATTTGGTCTTCCATATGTCTGTCCTTGAAATTTGTTTCATATCGCTGCAGTTAAAAACATTTTACTCAAGTAACTTACGTTAGGCATGGTTTGTGTGGATTAATTTGTTTTCCTTCTAATATCAAAATATGCTGATGAGAACATAACATTCGTAGCTTCTAGTGTAAAGGATTAAATGCGTATTTTTTCAACTCTTTTCACTGGTTATTACAAGTTTATAATTATCATTTATTGTTAAACAAAGGTTTTATTTATGAACATTGCAAATCTTTTAATATCCAAACTTTTCAAATATTTTTTTCTTTATCGTTATTATAAATTAACTGGCATTTTCTGTTACTCACAGGCTTAACTTGTGTTTTTTATTGAAATGCTTTTATACATTATGGTGCTGTTGTCTTCCGGTGGCTTAGGGATAAGTATGCAAGAGTTACAACAACTAAGAACACTAGTGCTGCCCCCTTAGATCATATTGAGTCGTTCACGTATGAAGTGACGCATTATTGTGAATACCTTATGTTCAATGAAAACAGTTGAGTAATATATAAAATTATTGATTTCTTGCTTGAAGTTTAATTCTAACCTGTCTATATGAAGCGTGGTCTCATTTATTGTAAAGTAAGGATACGCAGCAAGAATAATAAAAAAAAATTGTAGTATTGATGGATGAAGGATCATGGAATATAGAAAAATTTCTCCAAGGGAACATAGGACCAGAGAGACAAACTTGGATTCTAAAGTAGGACCAGAGAGACAAACTTGGATTCTAAAGTAGGA